AAAATCGAGTAGCCGCGACATGGCTTCGCAGAGCAACACCATTGGCAACAAGAGGAAAGGTATCGATTATGCTGCTGCAGGCTCGAGGTGTCATTGTTTTAGTTCATTACAAGCTCCGTATCCAAAGCCGGCGTTGGTAAATCTGTGTATCTTTTGGTCCCATAATACTCCGCTTTCGTTTAGGTTTGATTAGTGTTCAATGTATTTAAGATATTGTTCTTAAGGCATTTTATGGTTGTGCTTTTGTTGCTTAAGGAAAACTTTGCCGAATATCCGACGTGACGTCGTTAATATTTTGGCTCTTTTATCAAAGATCATTGTTCTGTTAATTTCAAGTTTTGGTTGGGTTTATTTTGGAGTTAAGATTTGGGATGTGATATTGTGGGCTTGTTACCATGTTGTTCATTATAATAGTAATTACATTGTGTTAGAAATTGGTTTAAAGTCTGAAGTTACAAACTTTTTTTTTTCACACCACTACTTTGTTTTTCTTATCAAGAACTCTTTTTTATCAACTTCAATATTTTTGGAAGATTTGTTGTGGCTATTGGGTTTTAGTAACTGAAGCTTGAAAGAGAAAACGATATGTTAACTAAAAGTTGGTGTTGTGATAATCTGATGTTGTTACTGGTTTTTTCCATTGCTTATATCGTGATAATTATTTGTTATGGTTTCGCGTATTATCAGTAATCCAAATTCCTTCTTTATTATGAATGACGGTGCGATTGCGGTAGCATGCTTGAATGTATATTTCATTTTTTGTTTCAAGGCATCATTTTGTTAGCATGTTCTTAGTTATGTTATCATTTATGATCTAATGCACATACTGCAGTGGTTGTAACATAATGTTAATTAATCATGTTAACAAACCTTGATAAATTTTTTTTTTTTTTATATATATGTGCTAATTAATTATGGCGAGACATTTTCCTGCTCTTGTTTTTTTCAACTGGTATATAACATGTACATTAGTTTTAACGTTTTTTTTGTACAAATTATGGACTTTTCTTCCTCTTAAGTACTCTTCTATTATATTATTTTACAATATGTAATTGTGTTGAAATTTATGACTAACTTTGTATGGTTTCTATTCCATTGTGATGTTTTGAATTCATGGGCTTAACAATTTATACTTATTATGTTACGAGTTTTAATAAGAATTTTGTCAAGTTTCAATATTTATTCTTCAAATTTCAAACGTATATTATTTCGAATTTTGATAGTTTTTTTTTAAAAAAATCAAGATTACTTTTCTATTCAAGTTAGTAAGTATTTTCAAAACAATTCAAAGGATAGATATCATGGACTATTTTCAAACTTTATTTCTAAACATTGATTAGTTATCTTTCTTGGATTCAATTTATTTTTGACATTGAAAATATTTTCTTAATTAAGTCATGAAAAATTAAACTTTTGAAGTCTAGCACTTCTTGAGTTTTTTTGAATGAATGCTATTGGGGCGTACGCTTTAGGTAGTAACATTCAAACTTTTTGTTGCAAAACACGCCCTCTAATTATTTAGACAAGGAAATGTCATTGGAGTCTAGCACTCCACATGATACTTTCGTTGTTTATTATAATATTTCATAAATTAAATCAAATGGTGAAAATTAAACTCTCGAAGTCTAGCATTTCTCGAGTTTTCGAATAGACATTATTAAGGTGTACACCTTAAATAATATATTGTTCAACTTTTTGCTCTCTTATTTGGACAAAGAAATATCATAAGAATCTAGCAATTCTGTGTGATATTTTCGTTGTTCATCCAAACATTTTTTCAAATAAAAATGGTGTTATTGGAATCTAGCATTTTGGTAATACCCCGATTATTTAGTTGTGGGGCCGACGTCTCATTTATTAAATAATCGATATTTTCAAACCCAATCTCGCGTTCTCACTTCTCACACGTTCACAAATTATTTTCATACCCCATTGCGCTTTAAATCTTTTTTAAAATATTTTTCTTGATCAAACCCCGAAAGAAAGAGGCACTTGGAGTCTAGCATTCCTTGTGTCTTCAAGTGAATAATTCTTGAAGCACGCCTTTGAGTTTTTATTCACTCAACCTTTCGAATTCAGTCTTTTTTACATTCTCCTAAGTCAAACGCTCGTCCGCATTCGCAACCCACATTTCATCCACAATTTCTCGTGGTCTCGATATTAGGAGCACCCTCAGGGACTAATATCGTTTCTCACCATTCTAACCCTTGACACGTCGTCAAGTCGGTTCAATCCTCGATCAAATCTTCGACACGTCGTCGAACTACTTCAAAACAACTTCCTTTTGGCCTCGCATGCCATTCTTCGATTCGATCCTTTCACAAACATTTTCGAAACTTACGAAAGAGGGATATTCTCATAATCTAGCATTCTTTGGATATTCGAATGAGTAACTCTCGAGGCGCGCCCTCGAGTTGTTATTAATTTATTCTTTCGATTTCAAAACATCCAACTCTTTATCTTCAATTTATTCAGTCAATTCCCGAAAGAACTGAGTTCTTGGAGTCTCGCATTCCTTTGATTCTTGAGTGACAAGTTCTTAAGACGTGTTCTTGGGTTGCTTGTCAGTCATCCTTTCGTCTCCTTCTCAAACTTCAACCCTTTTCAAACCTCATTCTTTTCGTGGTCGTCTCCACGAACTACGACTGCTCTGATTCTTCATTCACTCTTGAATGTAAGATACGTAGGCACAAGATTGCGATGATCTTGGCGAGCACACTTCTATCCATCTTCCGTATCCCCCTCCTTCTAGCGCCAGTCGAACTACGACGCTCTGATTTCTCATTCTCGTCCGAATGAGCATACGTAGGCACAAGGGCCCCAATCCTTGGCGAGCACCCTATCTTTTAACCACCCCATTCCCCTAGCGTCTTTACCTATTATCCTACCAATTCTACCTTTAATAACGAGAAGAAAACAAGTAAACCTAGACAACACTCCCCACATTTACCTTAAGAGGTTCCCGTCGAGTACGACGGACGTGAGGGGTGCTAATACCTTCCCCTCACGTAACCGACTCCCGAACCCGGAACTTGGTTGCGACAGCCCTGTTCCTATCCTTTCGTTTTAAGAGGTTTTCTCGATATTTTCCTCTCCCGTTTATTCGGGAAAAATAAAGTTCGGTGGCGACTCTGTCGAACCGCATTTCCGCGCCTTTCGCGCGAGGGTCGTATTTTCGAATGTGATTTTTTGAGGTGCGACAGTATGTCATCTAATTTTCTTGGAATATAGTCCTAACTTAGGGTTGGTGGATATTTCTCAGTTATGATTCGTTTTCGTGAGATCTAGTCTAGTCTTTTTGGTGGTTTTTTTGGATTCTAAAAAACTTTGGTTATATCCTTATTATCGTGTTTGCTTCTTGTGCTTGTTTTTTTAGATAGATTTTATGTACACTTTTTGTGCCGACTTGTTAGCTCCTTATATATCCTTTTGGTGGTTTTTTTTTTTTAATTCCCAAGAACTTTAGTTATATTCTTATTATCTTGTTTACTTCTTGTTTTTGTTTTTCTTTAATAAATTTTTTGTGTATTTTTTGTGTCTATTTATTAGTTTCTTATATATCGTGCACTCTTGTCTCTTCTATTTATATAATTATTTGTCCAAAACAAGTCACACTTTAAAAAAATGTCAAAAACATATAACTAATACTCTAGTATTTTCTAAAGCTCTTTTAAAAATCTCATATGCTTGATCAATAGCTAGTTGTCACTCACGCGTTCATATCATTTATTTCTTTTTCTTTGTCTAAATCATTATCATTATTGCTTGTTAAAATTAAGAAAAAGATTCTTAAAAGAGGAAGAAGAGAGGAAGTACTACTAATTATGAACACAAAACTAATGAAACTACCTTTCTGTTTCTTCTTTATTTTCAAAACACTCAAAATCAATTTTTCTTTTTCTTTTTGTAACCACTAAAAAGAACTAAGAAAACAATATGCTATGAAAAATAAGTTAACTTGAAAAAACAACATCAACTAGGGAAGAGAATCCATTTGCTCCATGATGTCATAATAACGATGCTGAATAATTGCAGACAGTAAAGAGGTGCTCAGTACCTCTACTTTTCTTTTCTGCAAATCTTATAGGTGCTAATTGAAAATTGCTACTTTTTTTTTCGTCTACTACTAAAAATTCACACACAATTTTCAGCACCACATTCGAACTTTGATAATAACGTTCAATTTTTTTTAAAGACAAATATATATATATAAAAGAAAAGTTCTATAACCTATAAAGAATCTTAATAAATGACACAAGAAATAACAAATATGGATCAGAATAAAAAAGAAACAAAGATATAACTACCGATTACAACAAAATGCACCGAAAAAAATAAAAACAAACAGAAACATAGCCACATAAACACGCAGCAAACCAACATCAGACAAAGCTAAATCTCTCCAAAAATACGACAATCACAAAAGACGAAACATTCAATGGATGTCGAAAACGCTGATCCTTCTATTAATTAAGAAATAAGATAAGATTCTCACGATAGACTGAAAAACTACAAGAGTTATCCGTGACCCTACCAAGATACAATTTCTAAGAAAAAAATGCTCATATCATTCCGAATTTTTCAACCTAAAAATAATTTCGGTCAGTTGAGCTAGGGTTTGCAGAGAAAACCTACATTACTAGTCTGATTATTAATAGTAGTGAATTAGTAAAAGCAAAGCACTTAGATGTACGTAGAAAGTTCTTGGTTACACACATAGAATAGTAGCTATATAGGTATAGCTATTACGTAGGTAGAGTTTTAGTTGATGAAATGTCATTTTAGGGTTAGATGAAGGATTGGGTCCCTAATATATTATGGACCCCATCATGATAAGGTTCAGAAATGTATGTCGCCAACTAGGGCATGTTATAAGTCCCTCCATTACTTTTCATCGTTTAAATAAAAGAAGAGAGAGAGAGAGAGAGTTAACATCTATCTATCTATTGCACACGTTAATATACTCTCCAGGCAACAACATAGGTGGTATAGTAAGAAAGATGGGTCACCATTCTTGCTGTAATCAACAGAAGGTTAAGAGAGGTCTTTGGTCCCCGGAAGAAGATGAAAAACTCATCACTTATATTACCACTCATGGCTATGGTTGTTGGAGTGAAGTTCCTGATAAAGCTGGTCAGTCACGTTCACATCTTTTTTTTCTTCTTTTTTGTTTTTCATTCATGATCATGATCATCTTGATATTAAATTTTCTCTTTCCTTTGAAATGATAATTAGGGCTTCAAAGATGTGGTAAGAGTTGTAGACTCAGATGGATAAATTATTTGAGACCTGATATAAGAAGAGGAAGGTTTACACCTGATGAGGAGAAATTGATTATTAGCCTCCACAATGTTGTAGGCAACAGGTACTATATATCCAATTTTCATTACAATATTAGCACTTGTTTATGATTTTTAATTCTAGTTTTCATCTCTTAATCATCAACTCTTTTCTGTATTCTATTGATGAATTGAATGTCATATACATCTATGTATCAACAAATAGATATCGTTTCGGTTTCATCTGATGACCGATGTGATAAGCTTTTTTTCACATTGGCCTGACATCCGATGTGAAAAGTGACAGACTTACCATAACACCTTAGGTTATCTCAGAAAGCTAACCAATGTGAAAAACCTATTCCAAAATATGTGAAATGTTTTTTATATAGTAGTGTAGCATATAAAACACATTGAATTTTGATTAGGTTTGAATAACAATTTAGGTTAATCTTGCTTGATTGATATAAACTTTGTAGATTTTAATCTTATATTTTGTGATTGAATGAATATGGGAAATGTGCATGCAGATGGGCTCACATTGCAAGCCATTTACCTGGTAGAACTGACAACGAAATAAAGAACTACTGGAATTCTTGGATCAAAAAGAAAATCAGAAAACATAACTCACCTTCTAATTCAACAACCACCACCAACATTACACAAAACCATGTTCTTGATTATAATTTCAATATCAATAAACTAGATCAAAATATCGTAACAACACCAAAACCCTCACCATTTCAAGAAACTACCTTGTTTTCTCCCACATGTCCTTTGTTTATGTTTGAGCCAAGTTCACTACACGGAACAACAACAGCAACAACAGCAGCAGCAACAGCGGAAGCAATACAAAGTAGTAGTAACAATCTGCAAACAGATCAATACTTTCATGATTCTGTAATAGGTTTGAACTCCGAAACATGGAATCAAGTTCAATCATCATCACTACCTCCTCCAATAATATCAACAACTTTTACAATGGACACAATGAACTATCTACCACCTTTGATAGAGAATGTGGAAAACATGGTGGAGGAGGAAGTTGGTGATCATAGACAAGTACAAGAGTTGAATAGCATTGATCAATGGCATCATCAACAATATCCTAATACCAACTTTCTTTTCTGGGACAATATTGTCCAACTCGGTGGGGAAGAACAACAACTAGCACCAAATTCATCATCAAATATGGGAACAAACAGTACTACACTTTCTCCTTTTCCTTCTTCATCTTTTTGAGATTTAACAATTAATGATTTGTGAAAAACACTGTCCCTACTGTTTTTTTATCTTCTTTTGACATTTCTAACTAGGAGAAAAAAAATTCATGATGGTCCATGCCAGGCTTTCGGAAACTTGCAGGGATTCTTCTTTTCCTTTTGATGATATCTTTTTCAATTTTCTATGTCCCTTTTGATTGCTGATTTGAATGTAAAGATTGTAAAAAAAAAAGTGAGTGAAGTAAGATACATGTCATGTATAGCCATGCATGCGTGAAGATGATTATTGGTGTGTGTTTTTCAGACCCTTTAGAGGGAAAAATAATAATAATAATAAAGGTGATTGGTACTGGTAGGTAGGACTTAGCAGAGTTTGATTTTGAAGATACTATATAAAGCAATATTTCATCAGTTAATTCACTCAATATTTGAAAGTACGTGTGATTTGATTATAATTGATATATTATGATAATAACATATGAGTGTTGATTACATTTTTCATTTCTTTTACAATGCATATTCAATTTGGTGTTAATTAATTATGGTTGATTATACATGTGGTGATTAATTGATGAAAATTTGAAGGGTAATAATGGGTGTAGTAGCCCTTTAAACTTTGATGTCTAATAAGTACACTACCAACCTGGCTTTTGAAAATTGAAAAAGGATCAAATAAAGAAAGTAAGAGAGAAAAAGCATTGACTTATGATCACATGCTTGTCCCCAAATTACAAGTCCCATAAACACCAAAAGCAGAACTGAGAGAAAGAGAAGGGACATGTGTCAGGTATCCATTATCTAAAAGCATGCCATCAGATTTTACTTCATCCCTCCTAAATTATACTCTCTCCCTGCTACAAGAAAAATATAATTTTACTTAATCCATGTATCATTGAGAAAAAGATAATTTTACTTAATCCATGTATCATTGATATTTCTAGTATTAATTAGAGTCCTCCCTTTATTTATCTAATATCTATTTATTATAAAAGGTATTAGTTAGTGTACTCACTAAAATATATACCGCATGATAATCTATTGTGATTAAGGGTTGTCAGAGACTTTTACGATTTATTATAAAGATTAGAATTAACTCATGTAGAGAGGTGAAAAAAATATGAATGTGGTATTTGCGTTATGAGATTGATTTCTCTCAACCTTAGGATTGAGGTAGGTATTTATAGAAATCTTTAGGTCTGAACCCCAGACTTCTAGGAAATAACAACCACTTCTAGGAGTGCGGGAAAAAGGGCGGTTAATATCATATTATTTAGGAGAACGTTAGTAATTTTCCCCTGACTCCTTCGCACCGTTATGGACTAGGACACGTCACTTACCACGTTCCCATGCATCAGGTAAGTCATTCAAAGACTGGGCAATGTATTTGAGAAATGGGTGTCACATCCGAATGATGGACGCCCAATCTAGTAAACAGACGCTTAAAAAGTTGTTGGGGTGGTGTGTTACATCGTCCCCCTCTCACATCACCCTTTGTGGGCCCTTTGTAAATATACTACTTCATTTTTACTCCTTTTTGTCTTTTATTTTCTCAAGAAACAGGAAGCTAACGACCACCTTTGATACTGAGCGCAAGGACGACGAGGATATCTGTAATTCTGGTATGCAGATCTCAAATGTCCTAAGAGATGTTAAGAACATAGATCTCTGCTAAAACATAATAAGGACAGAACACGAGCATTTTGAATAACTTTAAAAATTACCAGTGTCATGATATCTGTTGTAACATCTGTAGACTGACAGAACAATTTATCTAACCATTTAAATTGAGCAGAATATTAAATGCAGAAAGATAAATAACACAATGAATTGTTAACCCAGTTCGGTGCAACATCACCTACATCTGGGGGCTACAAAGCCAGGAAGGAAATCCACTATCAGTAGTATCAATTCAGAGTTAAACTCCTAGTTTACAACCCCTCACTTAATCCTTACCCAGTGCAACTTCTACCTAGGACACTCCTAGATATGAGACCCCTCTCACTCCCCTCGATCATAGCAGTGATAACAGCAAATGAATAAGCTTTATAAGACACTCTTCAAAGACAATACTTGATCTTGCTTAACAGCTTCGATCAAGAACAATACACTCTTGCTTACAAGCTTTGAGTGGACAAATTACAATTAACAACCTAGTCCAATTCACACATTAATCAATGAGTGAATGGCTCACAAAACTAACACATAAATATGTCTACCACGATGCATCAAAAGATACAAAGGGTGACTTACAAAGTCACACACACAAGAGACTCTCAAAATCCTAAACCCTTATTTTGCACTCAAGATCTTCTTGTTGTGAATGCTTGTCTTCTTTAGGTCTAGCAAGTCCTTATTTATACTCTTCTAGTATGGGCTTGGACTTTAGCAAAAGCTTCCTCATATTTGATCAAATCAAATAATTCTTCAAATCTTTTCAAAATATAATTCTTCAAATCTTTTAATAATTAACACCAATTTAGATTTGATCAAATCAAATCAACTCAAACTCCAAATCTTCTCATAATTAAAACCAACTCATATTTGATCAAATCAAATCAAATTCCAAATCTTCTCATTTTAAATCTTCTGCAGAATCTTCTCCATAAAAATAGGAACACATATTTTATAGTTTCCTAAAAAGTCTCAAAGATCCTTTTTAAGAAATCCAATTAAATCTGCACTTTCTTCCTAATAGATCTCTTTGACCTGCGCATACTGATGAGGTATATCGAAGATGATCTCATCAAATCAAAACACCTCTGTCAAGAGATATAAAATAGCAGTGCCTGCTGTACTAGACAAAGATGTCATGATATCTATCTCGACATCTTGTTTGAAACACATGACAATAGTACTGCCATAACAGTTGATGAAGATGTTATAACATCTTACTTAACATCAGTGTAAAATCATGTTTTACCAAAATTTAGCCAATCATAGAATCATGGAACTAACAATATCAAGTCTCATTACCTTACCAAAGAGAGGATGATATAACTTCGATAACACATCAACCTTTCTTCTTCAGGTGATGAAAAGAAGTCATCTTGGCGACATGTTCCTCTATAGAGAAGGTAAATATTGTTGTTTTAGGTGATTCCTCATGCTTTTATTTTTACCTCCCTGTAGTACGTAACCTAGGGGTCCTAATCCCCATTTTCATTTAAGAGGGAGGTTTTGAAAGGCGGTCAATGTCGCCCTCTTCCAGACCATGCCAACGACTGGAGTTTGATTCGAAAATTTACTATCATATGCCAGCGGCGAGGGATTCATCCAACTTTAGGAATGTTATTCTCTTTCTACAACACCAAGACGGGCGTTAGAGGGAGTTGGGTAGCCCTGAGTGCACTGCCTAAGAATATGGATAAATATCTGAGTAAGTTCGATGTCATAATGACCCTCATTTAGAATTCTTGTTGGTCAGCTTACTCGTATTTTCTTTTCTTTTTTTCCTTTTTTTTTGTAGATAAGATGTCAAAAATCTCATTGGCTGGGAGGAAGGAACATTTAGCCAAGAAAAAGGGTGAGCGTCCAGGAGCCAGTAATCCTCAAAGTCGCCCTGGCGCTCCAAATATCAGGAGGGTCAAGAGTCACACTAGGGTGAGGCATCTTTCGAACCACACGACCCTAAGGTCCACAAATAGAATGTGGAGTGATCCATATTAGTGTTATAGAAGGAGCAGGCAATCCTTCATCACCAACAAGGAATGACTTACCTCCACAATCCTTTATGTTGAATAATCCAAATTTTGACGCCATCGAATTCAGTTGTGTCTTCCTTCTCTTTCCCGAAGGCTTCCCGGACGACTACAAGGTTATCTACACAAAGGCACCCCCTCAAGTTGTCTAACCTCAAGGGAACCACTTGTTGAGGGTTTTGTTGATGGAGCATTCTGACAGGGAGAAACACACTTATATTGAGAATAAGATTAAGTCAAAGCTTGTAGGCTACCAAGGGGGTATTGCTAAAGGCCATACAATAATAGAGACCTTAAGAGGCTTTGGTGGCCAAGATTAAGGAAGCAAAGACCAAAGTTCAGGATCTCGCCTCCTCAGAGCAAAAATTGCAGGTATCCTTTAATGACACCCTTTTCTCCGAGAAGAAATTGGAAGAGGAGGTGTCTACGCTCAAGGATCGTCTATTAGACACCTCTTCTTACATTTATTTTGAGCGAGAAAAGGACCATGTGGCCTTTTTCCACCCTGAGTTGGATCTGAGCCGTATGGATATATTCAAGGTGGTTTGTGACGGCCAGCTTGTGCATGAAGAGAATGGTTCTTCCTCCAATATGTTAATTGTTTCCACTATTAAAAACACCTAAGCTAAGCCAAACAAGGCATCAAAGGAAGTTCTTTTAGAGTATGCTTATGAGGAAAGGTGGGACATTGAGGAAGGCTAGTGAGATAGAGGTTTTGTTATTTTCTTTTGTCCCTTCATGGCTTGTTATTTAAGTCCCGCCGTTAGTGGCTTATTCATGCATGACCTAATGGATTTTTATGTAACAACAAATATTTCCTTTGGGGGGCTTCCTTTACATTTTAATCTTTGGTGGTTGATTAATTATTTTGTCTGTATACTTTTATTTATCGTGTGAATTATCTTAGAACTTTCTTCAAACTAGTTTTGGCCAAGTTGTGGTCATTATAGTGAAGGTGATAATGTTGTCATTGGGGAGGAAAGGATTCCTTCAAGAGGATCCAACATATGTGGTTTCCTTAAAGTGAGACAAGGACTCCTTTATGAGGGTTTTTGCGAGAACAAAAGTTTTATAATTACCATATCCACAAAGACTGGTAGTGTCGCTGCAAGAAAAATTTGAGATTGAGTTATTGATTAACTTAAATCGAAAAGAAATAGTCACCATTGAGCTTTATTGTTTCCAAAGGGAATGGGAAAAGATCGAACAAAACCCACAAAAAGCTTTAAAAAAAAGCTAAAAAGAGAGATCTGGATACGAGGGTTGGTTATGCAAGGGGAAGGTATTAGCACCCCTAACATTTGTGGTACTCTACAAGAATCACTTGCTTATCTGTGTTTAAAAAGACTATCGTTGTTTGTTGATTGATTTAAAATGAAAAGGTATTTGGAATATTCAAGTGGAAAACTCAACTTACTACCCACAAGTATGAGAAAATGATTATTTGCATCAATCTTGATATGGAGAACTTTTACTTGGACTTTCTCAACATTCAAGTG